CTTCATTTCCGCATTGAAATTATTTGTTGCACGAACCAATTCTCCATACGAGAACTTCTTGGGTCCCGTTTCCCTTTCAAAATCTTCGTCCATTGAGGCATCGGGCGACCTATTCCTTTTCTTTTTCAGGACTAGCAAAATCATAACCAAACAACCAATCAAGGCACTTGTACCAATAACCAACCCCACCACCAAACCCTTGTTTGGCTTTGAATTGTTGCTAATCACCAAGCTTGAAGAATTTCTTATCTCCAAGCTTGAACTGAAATTCCAGGAGAGAATACTATGTAATTCGTAACTCCATCCCGTTGAAGCAGAGAAGCCAATATTAACACATTCCGGCAATTTATTTCTCAAATCTACCCTATAGGAGAGGCTAAGGGTCTCACTTCCCTTCTCTCCGTCAACATATATCAAGAAAACATTCAAGTCTTTTGTTCTAGAATTATAACTGACCTGAGCATCGCCTTTCACCTCGTTTGTACCATCAATATCCCATTGAACTTCTTTAACAGATATGATTGCATTAACGTCAATACCTACATGACGATAACTTGGGTCTTCTCCATCATTTGAGTATGTATCAAACTCTACTGCAACAGCTTGATTCTCACCTTCATTGGTAGCAGTCTTATTGTCAAAAAGACCAAGGAATTGACCTGACGAAGAAGGAATGACATTAGTATTACCAGTTGGAAGAGGAGGGAGGAAGGAGTTGGGAGCAAGGAAGAAGGTGAATCCGTCGCCCGGCATATATTTAGCATTCTTATCAATGAAAAGGGAAAAGGAGAAATGGGTGATGAAGTCTGTGAGGTTGTTGGTGGCATTGTCCCAGAGGTGAATGGGTTTTTTATATATGACTCGACCGGCACTGAAATTAAAAGGTTTGTCAACTTCTCCTATGGTGAGTGCAAGTGTATTCGAAGGGGAGTGGTAGGCATCTCCCTGAAATTCTAGTTCGTCTGCCATATCCGATGGAAACTTAGGGTAGTTGAAGGATAATGGTGTTGCAGAGACGATAAAGAATGAGAAGAATAAGAAAATATGGAACAGAATAAGAACTAAGTTTGAAGATTGGAGGTGGGAGTTTGATGAGTGGAAGAGAGCCATATAGTTGGAACTTGGGAATTGCCAAACTGGATGTAATAGAGGTACCAGTGTTAGCAGTGGATCTGAATTGGGGGAATCTTAAATATAAGACTTAATGAGAGGGAATTAAATAAGAATAAATATAATATTTTAAATTAAATTTTGTACCCTATAATTAGAGAGAGACAAATTTACAAGAATAAGATTTAATGAATGTTAACGGGAATTAATACCTTAAATATAAGACTTAATGAAAGTAATTTGAATGAAAAAAAAAATGGTTGATCAAATTATTTTTTTTCCTTACAATTAGGGTACAAATAAATACAAAATTAATATATTTCAGTCAAAAACAGTTTCAAATTATCATTAAGACTTTTAAAATATACCAGCACCAACCCACCCAATTGCCACCCCCAAATTAGGCTCTAAATGGATCAGATATAATTTGAATCAAATTTGAATCCATTCATTTAAGTTACATTCGGGTATTCATTTATCCATAAGCAGATCAGAAAATATTGATCCATTGATTAATTAGATCAAATCTGGATATTGCTTGATTTAATCCATTGGGGTCTGATCCAATTCAGTTACACATATAAAATATTATTGTTTAGTGTTAAAATTCTTTAGAATTATGTTAGATTTGTGATTTAGATCAACTTATTTTTTCCATTTATTTCAAAATATCCATGTTCTAAAGCTTTTTTTGACATGACCTCTTGCCCAGCTGTATAAATGGTCCTAAGATACACAGAGAGAAAGAAAGAGACTTTCGTTGACTTGACTTGACTTAAAATAGAAATTCACGAGGTGCCCACTCTTCTCGTTTGTGTATAGAAGATTTGAATAACCATTAAATAGTCCAAAATTTGATAGATTTTTTTTCTTCCTTTTGGGCAAAACATGTGGATGAGATTAAATAACTATTAATCATATCCTCCCCAATTATTTCAAGTTGTAAGTTGAAAGCCAAATGCAAGATTTGTCACTACTGCATTAGATGTATAACATATCGATGTTATGTAAGATTTGGTGGATGAACAGAAAATGAGTGGTCTAATGAGTTAGATGAACTGAGTTTGATTGGACGACTTATACATATAGATGGTCAGAAGCCCCTAGGGGTGCAAGTTGGACAGGCTAGGCTGGGTTTAAGTTCAACCCAGGCCCAATTTTAGCAAGCTAGGCTGGGTTTAAGTTCAATCCGAATTTGAATTGAAATTTGATGCACACAGGTTGGTCTACCAGATTGGTGGAGAAAGCCACACACATGCAAGATTCACTGGCCCTTCCCAGGTGCATCTGTGACTGAAAGGCATCAACATGGTCATTCGGGCCGAATGACCCATTATACTTGTCCAGGGGAGGAAGCTTGAAGTCCTTTGGCATGCGGACAACAAGAAGTTCAGGAGATAGGGGGGATGGAACTGAGAGGAGCGGAGTAGCTTTTACCTCGTCTGAGCTCTCCTCTTCCTTACCCCTGAGCTCGGGTAGGTTGTGAGTTGCAGTTCGGCGAGCTCGGTGGCACCTCTGCTGTTTCTTTGCTGGCTCGGCATTGGTGCTGCTCGCTTCCGTGTTGCCGAGCTCGATTGGCCCATGGAGGGGCTCGGATGGCTGCTAGTGGCTGTGCACCGACGGGCCTTGCCTATAGTCTGCGGCCAGAACCTCATACTGGTTGTTGGTGAGCGGAAACTCGAACTGTGAATGCTGGGGTGACACGGGTCTGGCTGGCTGGGACGCCCCCGACTTGATCATAGGCTACGAGACAGTGGTAGCTGGTCTCTCCTTCTTGCCATGGGACGAGGCTTGACTCATGGGAGGGTTCTGAGTTTGGGAGGCCTCTCCCCGACGAGAAGGACGCTCGTTCTGACGGTGAGGCTTGGCCTACTGTGTGGTCGGATGCCAAAGAGGAAGTGGTTGTTGAGTTTGAGGCAACGAAGGAAACTACTACTGGTAGTGGTACTGAGAAACTTGATGCAACACTTGTTGCTGATAGAGTTTGAAGTGCTGGAACTGTTGCATTTGTGCTTGCATGGCCCACATGCACTGCACCAAGTCCTCGAGCTAGTTCTGGCTGGTCGCCGGAGGGACAACAGAGGGTTCGGCGAAGGTCATTCCGACTGAGGAAGTGCAGCACGTTGTTGGAACAATGCCAAATTTGACGTTTTCTAGAGCTGCAGCACGTTGCTGCTAACAGGGCAGTGATGTGGCATTGGTGTGGCAGTGGATAATGGGTAGAAGTGCAGAAAATGTTTCTTAGAACATTAGTACCAAACAAAAAAAGTTATTGCTCCCAAAAACGTCCTACCTGACAGCAACAATTCCAAACAAAAAAGGGCATCGTTTTCTAAAAAAACGGTATTGCAACTATAGTATCAATGCCAAACATATACTTAATCAATCCAATTGCAACCAAAGTTGCATCTCTATTGAGATTGGTCAATTTTGATGAATAAATATGCAAGATGCCAGCTAATTGGTTGATAAAGTTTCTTGCTGGTGGTTACAGTGGAAGCTTGGTATTGAATCCCACCTGCACCTCAGTACGGGGATGAATTACCCCAATTGTGTAGCCCCTTAAAATAAAACAAAATGAGGAATAAATATCAATTTTGAATTAAAAAACAAGAAATTATTAGTCATATGCTCCTCAAATTATTTTTGGTTCTAACCCAATAATGCATATGTAATAGTATATACGTGATGCACCCCATTCCATGCATTAAAAAGATATCCGTGTACATTCATCTCTTTAACTGAGTTGACTCATTGTGGCTTAGCTTAAATAACCCCACATTTAATTATTCACTTTAAAAATTCAATAATCAACAAAACCATTGATGTGGACGGGACCACTCACACTATGCATGCTCCATGTCCTATGGTAGTGGTGTCACCCTGTCAGGTGTGGGGTGAGTCTCTCATAAAACACCATTAAACTAACCCAGCTATCTAGTGAGAGTGGTCAATTTTGATGAATAAATATGCAGGGTCCCAGTAGGTTGGTTGGTAAAATTTCCTATTGGTTCTAGTGGAGATTTGGGAATGAATCCCACCTATATACACCTGAGCTACACAAATGGGCTATCCCTTTGTGTAGCCCCTTGAAATAAAAAAAAATGATAAATAAATATTAATTTTGAATTAAATAACAAGAAATTATTAGTCATATACTCTTCAAATTATTTTTGGTACTAACCATAATAATGCATCTGTAATAGAATATAGTGGAAGCACCTATGCCATGCACTAGATGGTAGGGGTGATTATGGGTCGGTTAAGTTCAGTTCCATGGTAGAACTTGGAACTTATTCTATATGGGTCGGTTTCGGGATTTTGGAACCGAAACCTATCCTATGAAGGTCAGTTCCAAGTAGGGGTGATTATGGGTCAGGCTGGGCTTTGCACTTATGATAAGGGCTATAGCTTAGGCCCGGGCCCAGGGTTCTGGGCCTGAAACATAAGCCCTAGCCAAGGTCTATACGGGCCTAAGCCGGGCCGGGCTTGATTCTGGACCAATGTCACTCATATATAAAACAATAATATTTATATATTAAATGATATAACATGCATATAAACAACTTATTTTATACATTATATAATATAAATCATTATATATAATATAAATTATACATGTCATGTTATAATATTTATTTATAAAGTATATAATATAATGTAAAATAACACGTATACATATGTATACATTATTCACAAAATGTGTAAGTTTAAATATATGTGGGTCGGGCTTGAAGTATTAATCCCAAGCCCGGCCCTAAAATTTGCGGGCCTAATACGGGCCTGGGCCTAGGCCGGCCTGAACACAAAACCCAAGCCCAAGCCCAGAATTTCCGAGCCGGGCTGAAATGATCACCCCTAGTTCCAAGGCCTATTCTGGTCTTGGTGGTTCCGAGGTTGGTTCTAGGGTCTACTCGTGAAACTTGTTGTTTCTTTACTCTCCCCCTTCAAAAATTATAATGAAACATGTCCTTAAAAAACTTCGTTTTCAATAATGATAATATATAATTTAAAGCTTATATTATCTTTATTGATTAAATTAAGTAATTTAATATGTAGATTAGCTATTAATATATTGTTGAAAATTTGTCATTATAATTTAAATTTTATAAATATTACCATTAACGTTAAATAGAAAACAAATTATCAAATTACTTAAGTCAAATGAGACCATGGCTTTTGTAACCATGAGTGCTCGGGCTCAAATCTTTACATCCTTAATTAAAATATTTTGGGGCCAGTTTATTTCAAGGCAAATTCAGTTCTAAAGTCGGTTAGTTGGATCAGTTCAGGTTGGGTAAACCCCTAGACCTAGAACCGATCGAGGTGGGGGTCGATTCCAAGAATTTGGAACTAGACCCTACCCTATAATAAATCGGGTATGGTCAATTCAATTTAAGTTCCATTTGGTTCTAGGTATAACCTGTCCACTTGTTCACCCCTAGTAGAAGGTGTTGAAAGAGATATCCGTGTACATTCGATATATGTTTGGCATCGATGTTGTAGATACAACACTAATGTGTGGGTTGGAAGCACCGTTTTCTGAGAAACGGTGTCTTTTTTTTTGTTTGAAAACGTTGGTATCAGGTAGGATGTTTCTTGGAGCAACAACAACACCTTCTGTTTGTTACTTGATTGTGCGCAATCTGGTTGCTCCAAACTAGAGGGCAGCTCAGACATCGGTTGCTTAGTTAGGCAGTCGAACTACAAGAAGATGAAAGCTCAAAGAACCTAGAGTGGCTTACCCAATGTGGGCACTCCGATGGTTAAGTTAGTACTCTTGTTCGAGGGAGCTAAATGCTTGAAAGCTAGAGTGCTAGTAAGGAGTAAATCTTGTGTCCCTTGTAACATTGGGGTTGGTGCCCTTAAATAGATGAGTTGTCGTAGGTCTCATGAAACACTTTTGAAATCTTAGGTCTGTGTTGTTAGGAGTTCATTCCACACCAGGAGGAGGACTTCATGTTAGCCAATAGGGCTTATTGAGTTCGTTCGATTTGGGCGGGATAAGCATAAGTCCTACAATCATGTGCC